TGCAGAAAAATAAACTGAACAACTTCTGCCTCAGGGGCACATCCAAAATCAATACCAAATTTAAAATAAAAAATAAAGTTAACAATTGTATTTTAAAATTTTTATTTTTTTTGGCCCGGCTGGGCAAGTGGTCCCGGGCCACTCTGATAGCCTAGAAAATTAGAAATGCTTGCATTTTCGCTCTGGCCAGGGACTTTCACGAACAACACCCAGAGGATTGCTGGCACGGGGAGACGCTAAAGAGGGAGGAGGAGGGAGGAGAGAGGGAGGACGAAGAACGGAGGACAGGTGAATGCAGGCAAGAGGGGACCTCTGAAAGGAAAAATGGGCAGAGACGGATGGAGGAACATGGAAATTACTGGTAATTCCTTTACCATCCACCAAGCCCTCATGCTTTTCAAAGGACCGGAAAAAGAAAGGAGCAAAAAACTTCAATTTACAAACAAGAAAAGAGCCATCACAGTTACACTCCGCATGATTACACTAAAATAAAATTATTTAAAAAAAAAAGGTTGACTGAAAGGAAAAGGAACCCACTATGTAGCTGAACTGCTGATTCCCAACCACTAGAAGAACTCCTTTTCTCTTCTTAAAATTTCTGATACTTCAGGATTTTTTTCTTGCGCCCTATTAATATTATCCCACCACATGAAAATTAAAAAAAAAAAAAAAAAAATCATAAATCTTCCATCTTCAACCTGGGCTGTACATCAGCAGCAGAAGCGACGGAAATGAAATTTTTTACAAATTTATACTTATAAAAAAGAAAGAGTCTAAACAAATAACAAATAAATAAATAACATTTTAATAAAGAAACGTTCTTACACAGAGTGCTTTGCAAATCAACACAACGGGTACTCTAAGGAGTCTAAACAAATAATAAATAAATAACATTTTAATAAACATGAATAATAATTTTCTACATTTCTGAAAGTTAAAGAGGAAAATTAAAAAACGGGTAATAGCTTTCGTAAGTTATAACAATACGAACCTTCTGGAAATTAGTCTGGTTCTGGTCATCCACTTCAGACTTCACAATATCGCTGATGTGGTCAATGAGTTGTAAATCCCAAGTGTTTTTCTGGGTGATTTTCTGCAAGACAAAAAAATTGAATATCATTTGGAAAAGTGAGTGTGTGTGTGTGTGTGTTGGGGGGGTTGGGGGGGGGAGGGGCAGGAATGAGGGGGAAAAGAAGGGAGAAAGGAGGGGGAAAGGAGGGAAGGGGGGTAGAGGGAAGGAAGGCGGGGGTGGAGAACGCAAATCAACATTATCTCGTTAGCAATATGCAAGAGAGATGTGATCCCTTTGTTTTTCCTTTCGATCCTTTTTGGTAGATGTGATGGTCCCGCATCCCCATCCCCGTCCCCAAGTCCCAAATTGCTGTTCGAGTGTTGTGTGGACTTCGGAGACTTGCATGTTTACGATTGGGACTCTGAATTGATTCGGTATCATTGCACCATCTCCCTTTTAAAATATATATAATACTTAACCACCACCCAGGTTAAGGTGGATTATCACTAACATTGTATAATCAGTTAGGGGATTCTGCAGACTGTCGAGGGTTAAGCGTACTGACGAGTAAGTGAAATTCCGACGAAACAGTTTCTCACAGCCCCTCATTCGTTGTCTTCTTCTCCCTCTCTGCCTACGGTTTACCGGGCAGCTCGGTTTGACGATATATATATGTATATATTTTTACCGGGCAGTTCTATTTGACGATACATATATATAACTTTGTGACAATATATATTGTCACAAAGATGTCAGAGCGCAAAAACGAAAAAAAAAACAAGAAAAAATCAATTCATTTTTTTTCTTACTTACAAGTCCCCCTGTTCAAAACCTCTTGCGTACAATATATATGTAATGAACCCAGTCTGGTAGATACTCAGAAGTCGTCAAACACCAGTAGTCTCAGTACCTGCAACAAAGTCTCCAAATCGTGAAGTGATATCTCAAACAGTATCTTATTACCAGTAGGCGAAGAGAGTGGAGGGGGATCAGACAGAGGAGAAGGTGGAAGAGATGATAAAAGATCACACAAGAGTAATCCCGTCAAACCCCTCTCCTTCTCCGGGCTTCTTCCCTCTCCACGTCAACAACCAGTAGATGATAACAAGTATAGTAATCCTGATCACACACAATAGTGCCACATGGCACTCTTATCTCGTGAAGACCATGAAGACACAGCAGATTACAAACAAATGTGTGTGTCCGACCGGCGGCCTGGGCTGGGTACACTTTGACTTTGACTGTTCGGGTTTCCGACAGTTGACTTTTATCAACTGTACCTCATCCAGGCCCGGAATCTTTTGCTGGGGTCTTTTCCCCCGTTTTGGCCTGGGCCTGGGTGTGGCCTGGCGAGGCCCTCAGTTTCCCCGAGGCTTACTACATGGGGTATTGCATATATATCGTCACAAAGTTATCAGAGCACAAAAGCGAAAAAAAACAAAAGGAAACAGGAAAGATATCAATTCATTTTTTGTCAACTCCCTATATATCGTCGTTATATATATATATATATATATATCGTCAAATAGAACTGCCCGGTAAACCGTAGGCAGAGAGGGAGAAGAGGACAACAAACGAGGGGCTGTGACAAACTGTTT